TCCTAAAGGGACTTTCCCTGTTATTCTTAAGGCTTTATAATCTAGATTTATTTCTGCTTTATCGTAAAGAATGTGCACCTTATATTTTTAGCTGCTTAGTTAGATAGCTTTTAATGTTTTCCACCAAATCCCAAGGTTTAGATCTCAAGTGTGTATCACAGCATCGGAAAATATATGTGTCCTTTGAAGACTCAGTCATTTCATATGGCATCCTGACAATGTATTATTCATGACTCATTTACAGATAAACAATGTGGCAACATGAAAGCAAAGCATTAAAAAATCCCATGTATCAGAGAGTCCTTTTGCAGAAGTATAAAAGTTAAGGGTGATTAGGTTTAAAATCGGCAAACACATAAATAAAGAAGGTAATTTAGGGGAATTTTAAAAAATTAATACCATGTTTTTGATAGTGAACTCCTTTAGGATCAGGACAGAATCTAATCCAAATTCCATAAAGTTCTAATATGTTACACAGTACAGTTCTTTAACCTAGTAAATACTATTTTACATTTAATTTATTTATATCATAATTAACATTTTATTTTATAGTAAGAGTTCTTACTATAAAATATAGATACTTTTGATTACAAATTGATGTTTGTAACTTAATAAGCAGAAAAACAATCTATGATAATTTGACAGAATTTATTAGGTGGAGAAGGATAAAGGATTATTTGATACAGTTTATGTTTATTTTAGGAAGAAATTTTTTAAGGCCCTCATGATCTCACATGGAGGTAGGGGGATGTGTGAGGGGAATTTTGTAATATTTTCCTTTCTAATCTTGCCTTTCTCTTGCTATGACATCAAATAAAATACAATGTTGTCCTTTTAGGTTAAATGGTAAAGTCAGGCAGAAGCTCACAGATATTCTATGTCATATTTGATACAACCACATTTTTCAGTTTGAACGTGAGTTATCTTTGAAAGTTTTAATTTTGAGTAATATAGTCTTCACTTTTTCTAAATATACTTTCTAAAACACCAAACTAATCACCCCATTCTCCTTCGTAAATCTCTTCAAACTATCTGCTAATTTACTGAAGTTGAAGTAGCTAAGAACAGGCACCCCAAAACATACCACTCTAGCATATTATCTATTTAAGTTAAAGGTACTTAAAAAACAGCAGGTTGCAAAAAGATCACTCTGACCTTCCTATTTCTTAAAAGAAAGAGATGAGACTGGGCTCACGCCTATAATCCTAACACTTTGGGAGGCTAAGGCAGGAGGATCACTGAAGCCAGGAGTTGGGGACCAGCCTGGATAAGAGTGAGACCCTGTCTCTACAAATAACTAAAAAAATTAGCCAGGCATAGTTCCAGCCACTTGGGAAGCTGAGGTGGGAAGATTTCTTGAGCTCAGGAGTTTAAGGCTGTAGTGAGTTATGATGATGCCACTGTTCTCTAGCCTGGGCAACAGAGCAAGACTTTGTCTCAGAGCAAAAAAGAAAAGAAAGAAAGAGATGAAATCCCCATGGAAAAGATGCAACATCCTTAATCCTCAAGTATGAAAAGCTGAGGACGAGAGAATTCTGTACAAGCCTTCTTAAAATAATTCTTATCTTCTAAGCCTACCAACATAATTTAGCTATTCCTCACAACTTACTATTCTTTGTCCAATCCAGTACATGAGAACTGACTCTAAGTGCTTCTCTGGGTCTTCATATCTTTATGAGGGTTCCTGTGCCATGTAAAATTTGTATCAAATGAATTTGCATGCTTTTCTCCTGTTAGTCTAGCTTATGTCAATTTAACCTGGGGCCCAGCTGGACCCTAGGGAGGACAGCAGTGGTGTTTTACCCTCCTACAAAGTGCCATCCACACTCTGTGCACTGCGGTACTTCTAGAAACACTCCTCTCCTTTGCTGTATAACTCCTATTTGCTTATTCAGTCTCAGGCTGCTCTAAAAAGCCTTTCTCCTAACTGTGTTATGTTCTACTCTGCTGTGTGTTTTTATAGAGCAGCAGTCCCCAATCTTTTTGGCACCAAGGACCAGTTTTCATGGAAGACAGTTTTTCCACTGACAGGGGAGTGTTGGGGGTGGTGGTTTCAGGATGATTCAAGTGCCTTACATTGTGCAGTCAAACCTCTCTGCAAATGCTGATCTGTGTTTGCAGCTGCTCCCCAGCGCTGGCATCACGGCCTCAGCGCCACCTCATACCATCAGGCGTTAGATTCTCATAAGGATCAAACTAGATCCCGCGAATGCACAGTTTACAGTAGGGTCCCAGTTCCTATGAGACTCTAATGATGCAGCTGATCTGACAGGAGGCGGAGCTTACGCAGTCATGTGACTGATGGGGAGCAGCTGTGAATACAGATGAAGCTTCCTTAACTCACCTGCTTGCCACTCACCTCCTGCTGTGTGGCCTGGCTCCTAACAGGCCATGGACCAGTACCAGTCTACAGCCCGGGGAGGGTGGGGAGGGGGTGTTTGGGGACCACAGCTATAGAGCATAAAACATACCACACTTTCAAGGAGCGCCTTTTATATGCAAAGTACTGCCATCAAGTCGTACACAAGCAGACCCATCTAAGCTTTATGGGCTGTACGGTCAAGCTAGGAAGAACAACTCCACACAAACAATTAGAATTAACAAAATGATTCAAAGTGTTCAGAATGCCCTAAAGGACAAATAAGAGGAGGGGTATGGATTGTAGAGTAGCTAAATCTAACCCTGAGTGATAGTTAAGGAAAGTTAGTCAAACTGCGCCATGCATGGGCTATGCAAAGAAAAGGAAAAATAGGATTCTAGGTAGAGGGGGAAACGTGCAAAAACACCTTAAGGCAGGAGAAAGGGGGGAATATGGCATATTTTAGGAATAGGGAGAAAGACTGGTGCAGGATGGGGCTGGAGAATGCATTGGACTTAAAGCATGTCCAGGCCTGTGGCAGCATTTCTCTCTAAGAAAGAAACTCACTGTTAGGCTGGGGGGAGAGCAGTAAGCTGTCATCTCCCAGCTGCAACCCCTTCAGGACACAGCATATCAATCCACCAATTCTACACTCTTCCCTGGCAACCTCTGCGCCACACTCACAGCCCTCTTGAGCAGCCTGTAGTTCTGACTAAGCACAGGTAGAGTGCAAGTGTGTTGCTCTTTCTGCCCAATGCTGGGGTCTTCTAAGAGGTACTCTTGATTCAGGACTCTCCACTGGATTAGCCAAGACTTTGTTTTGCAGATCACTCCCTCTTCGCCTAGTCTGAGGCTCTCTCTGGATCTGAGTCTTGTTGAGTTTGAGATATGATCATTTGTTTTTAAGGCTCAATGACTGAACACTGTATTACAGATACTATCAGCTAGACACAACAAATGAGACTCACATAACTGCATTCTCAGCTCTTAATAATTTCAATAGAGGTGCTGGGAAAATCGAAACACAGCTGTGAAGATTTATAATTTTTTTTTTCTAAGAAATTCAAAATCAGCCATATCTGGATGAAGGAGATAACTTTCAATTGGCGGTTTTTTATTTCCATTAAAGAAATATTTAATTACAGCAATTTCCTGCTGGAAATAGCACAATACATTTGATGTAGTTCAGCAAAACTACAACAGAGATGAGAAATGTTCGCTCACTTACTTTTGCTGAGTTTGCAGACTGAGCTACTTGCCAATTAGGATAGTTAACGAGGTTTTTCTTCAAAGGAAAAAAAGGATTTACTACCTCAACTTAGGAAATACATGCTAGAGCAGATCGTTGATAAACTTTTGCTAGGCAGTAAATTTTTACGAGAGTTGCCTCTCTTGCACCTATTCCACCCTGCCAAAGGTGTATTAGTCACACGGTTTGAATATATGAGCCATGTGAATTAATCCCACACCCCTCTGCAGCCTAAGACATTCCGGATTCTCTTATCCTCCTTTGCCAAAACCAAGAGTGTTTTTGTTTTGTTTTGTTTTGTTTGTGGTTTTATGGAGAGACCTTAGAAGTCTGATGATGGTGGGAAGTGATGCAAACACTGCCCCTCCAATTCCTTAATCCCCCTACATGTGTAGGGTAAGCAGTTTCTGCGCAGGTGGCAGTTGGAGACAATCAGGGAAACCAGTCCAAAGACACAGCCTATGCAGCAGAACCAAGATAAATCCAAGAAACAAGAGCATGAGTTCAGACTGAGCTGTGTCCCAAGACTGCCTCATCCCATGGGGTTATTAAGGGCAGGTCGAAATGTATTTTCTGTTATTTGTGCTACCAAAGGCCTTCTAATATACCAACATATTTTCCTAGTTTTCTTGGTTTAAAAATACATAATTGATCATACATCTCAACATAAAATTTACTGTCCCTGCCAGAAAAAAGGAAAGGTCAATTGTCATTCAGGGCTTCAGGTTTAATTTTGTAGCTCTTCATTAAACACACTTATAAAACTTTGCGCTATTTCAAAAGGTATCAAAAATACAGTGAAATACAAACTTACGTATGCACTAATTAATGCGATTACACATTTGGATGCTGGGTAAAAATCATTACCGGATACCTTAAACAGCACGTAAATGCAAAACAGTAGGCTCTCCTCTGGCTTTACAAAAAATAAAGTTGATTTTTTATTTGTTGATATGAGTTTGCAATAATGGCCCATAGGCCAAATCGAGGCCACGTTTGTCTGTCTGCTTTGCCCACACAATATTTACATAGACATATTACAGAGACACATACAGTTCTGCATGGCAGCAATCCACTAGCGATGAAGTGCAGTCACTTTAGGCCAAGAATGAGTTTCCAGTTTTAATTGCTTTACACACGGTCCAGTGAACCCGTCTTATGACCTTGTCACTGTGAGATGTTTACATTTGTGACCTCAGCGTTACGTGTACACACCAACATTTTGGCAGCTAAGGACAGATTTATTTGAGAATCAGGAAAAAACCTGACAGAAATTAAATAAATAAAACAGCACAGAAGTAAATATCCGCTGCAGATTAATAAACACTGTAACAGGATCTTTCACATCCTCGGTAGTAAGACCCCTAACGGCCAAATGATCGCATATCTTACCTTTAGGCCTTTTTCCTCTATCTTCTTTTGGAGCATTTTAAGGCACTTGGTATAGTCAGTGTGGTCTTGATCAGGAGTTGGAATAAGCTCGCATCCCTGTAAAAGAAAAGTAAGAATAAGCAATAATTTCAGCCTTATGAACAAGATCAAGAGCTACAGAAGTAACAATGAGGTATCAATACACATATTCTTTTCTGCCTGTATTATTCCCCTATCGTTAGATTCATTATCATCATCTTTTTTTATTTCACATCACAGGGTCTTTCAGGAATGGCGTCGGAGTGTTACAATAATGGGCCGATTATGACAATAATTGTATCCTAGAAAAGTACAGATGATACTACGATAATGGTCTTTTAAAAAAACACTGATATGATGACATTCAAGATTAACATAAGGACTTTGATACATGTGTAATAAGTTATTGATGTATTCTCAGTGCCATCACCTGAAATCAAAATGAAACTTCCTAAGAAACTTTGAAGCTCTTTAAGTAGAACTCATAAATTTACTTACATGAATGGAGAAACTACTATTAATCTTAAATGCATGATAAGATTTTACATTTTAAGTAAAAATAAGTTAGCTGTCCTATAAAATTCCTTATGGCACCCTGTTCCCACCTTGCAGAAAGCAGCCTGCTGCCTGTGTAAATATGTCTCTTGGATTATCTTTTGGACATAATGAAGTGAATTTATAAGTTCTTTGTGTTCCCTGCAACAGATACCTCACCTAGTGAAAAACACTGAAATATATTTATAAAGCCACAAAAGCGCCAGCTTGTTGGCACTAGTAAACTTGGATGGCTAAAGAAACCGTATTTTTGAAATGACACACTTTCCTCCAATGTCATACAGAGGCAAAGGTATGTAAAACTGAGCACGATGGGACCTCAGACTTCTTAATTCAGGAATAAAACAATTCTTGGACTCCGACAAACAGCTGAGTAAGGGAAAGTTAAATATAATCTAGTATATAAAGTTGCCATTCAAAGAGCTTTCAAGGATACAAAACACCCATACTGTCTCTTAAATTATTCTAAGGACCATTCTCAGTAGATTTAAAGGTTCTCCTTTTACTTCAAGGTCTCTTTAAATGTGTCAAGCTCAACCTGTGCTTCATTCATTTACGACTGTCCTACAATATAGGGACCAATGAAAAAATTAATTCCTCATCATTCAGAAATATATTATGCTCTAAAAGATGTATATGTCATCTTCACAAGATCGTCGACATATACTTTCTTGACCCTAAAAGAACACTGAAATTTACTATAATCACCAAGCAAGGACATAAAGAAGTGCCTCGTCTCAGGCAAACACTCCTGAAAAAGAAGATAAAAGCATATGCCTAAAAAAAGAAGATATAACCATATATTTCAAAGAGGATATAAGCATACAGGAATATAATCAGGCTGAAGAGATTACACTGTTACCAAACCAAAAATCATTATATAGAAAGTTCCCTGAGGGCAGGAATTATGTTTCATTCATTATTATTTCTAGTGCCTGGCACTATTCTGCTACATGGTAGGTGTTCAATAAACTTTAATGTTCTTGAGGAAAAAATGGAGTTTTACAAATATACTTGTAAAAATATATACTGGCAAAGGGGTAAACTAGTGTAGCATCTTATTGCTAAACATGACAATGGAAAGTTGTCTTCCTCTTTTAAATGCTGACAAGGGAAATATCGCTTATACAAATGGAAATAAAATAAAATTTAAAAGACAAATACAAATAGCACAATAGATGATTAACAGATCGTTATTTACCTTTACAGTTATCTTCACAGAATCAACAGAAAGCCACTGGGAAAATGAGTTAAACAAAAACACAAGAAATAATTTATCTAGGACCACTGCAACATTTTGTAGATGAATAAAAACAAGAGATAAAAGCTGACTTGCAGACTACTGGACAGCCAGGGAGTAATTAGCAGCAAAGCCGTGACTAGAAAGTGTATTTCTTTACTCCCACAAAGTGGAACAAATTCTTAGATATTCGATAGAAAAAATGTCACATAACATCCCCAGAGTTAGTTCCACAAGAATGATACTACAAAAGAAATCGACTTGAAACGTGAGCAAGGCTGGGATATCTTACTTTACCTCAATTAAAATACACAGAAAAGGTGAGGTCAGGACATGCAGAGAGAGTATAAGTACTGAAAAAAATCACACTATCTAAACCAATAACTCCTACAAACTCTAGCTGAGGTGTTTAATAGCCGTCCAACAGCTTCTTAGGGTTCTCACAAGTTTAAATGATGCTAAGCTCATCATGGATTGAGAACGAATTCACAAAAGTGCAAACAGCTTCAATAGTTCTCGAAAGGCAGCTTTCAATGCTCTCAACGTGAGACCAGCAAAACAAAATATTAACCCAAGTACAATAACAGGCCTTTGGCCAACTAAGGATGTTTTCCTGGGTCTTATGATAGCATATTATGATCTCAGAGAGGAGAAATAGAAAGCTAAAGATGAGAAATTACCACGGTCCTACAGACAAGGAATGACATAGAAATGCTATAAAGTATCAAGCAATGCTCATCTACTAGATATGAATATTTATGAATTATTATATAGAATAAAGCTCAATTTCCTAGATCAGAAGCACTAGAGTACTGTCAAAAACTTCACTGATTTGGTGTTTTCCTTAGGAAAAAAGAAAGAAAACTCTCACATTCACTATCAAAGGACCCAGAAGATAATTAATACATGACATTTGGCCAAGTAAGAAAAGCATATGACTTCCCAATAAATAGTTTATAATATTAGTTTCCTGGTTGAAATGCATGTATTTTACCTCAAAATACACAGAAACCTTCCCAAAGCATAAACTTCAAAACAGTTTAAAACTGTTGTAAAGTGCCAATGTTTGAGTGAAAATTTGTTTCAACTATTATCATCTTTGATTTTTCTCAATTGCATGAAATATATTTTTTAGGATACAAAGTATTATTTTATGAGCCAGCAGGTGGCTCCATTCTCATACTACACATTTTTTCACTGTAGTTTTTGTCATTATACAAGATATTTCAATAGATTCTAATAACTTCCCTTTATGAATATATCACTTTTTTAAAGCTGTTCTATTATTTTAATATATTTTATTAGTATTGCTTTATAATAGAATTAGAAAAAAGACTTGGATTGATGTCACAAATTTCAGTCTGTGTCAGTATCAAGTTATTCTGATTTTGTTCTTTAAAAAAATCTTTTGAAGATGAGGAACCACAATATCAGCCTCATCCCTTCTAAAACATATACACATAAAAGAAAAAGCACAAAGAACTACTTTACAAATTCCATTCCAGTGTGTTGAACTGGCTACAGTCTCCTTTATCAAGGCTCTGTCACCTCATAAGTCAAAACCAGAAAAATCCATCTATAAATTTAATTAGAAATCAATTACCAGATGCCAAATCAACTACTTTTCAGGGGCCTGCTGTTTGTCTGCTGCTTTATTAAATAACACTATGTTCTGAAGAAGCAGGACTTTACCAGATACTACTAAGTCAGTACAGTAGAAAACAGAATAACATAAATACTAAACATGTAAAATACAAATAGATTTGCGTGTTTATGAGAAAGACATACAGACAGAGGCAGGCTCCTTTTCTTCTGCTTCCCATACTAAGGAATGCCTAGTAATACTTCTCTCCACTATCCAGTAAGTGCTTGGAAAATAGTCAGTCTTTTATTTATCCCTAAGTTGTTCCTTTCCTTTTGGTGGGTTGTGGAGGTATTGTGAGCATTTGAAATTCCATTCAGACATAGATGCTGAGCTACATAGTCTAAAATAGAGCTTTATCAGAAAGCTCTGCGCTTGAGGAGTAAGTTGGCCTCCATTACTAATCAAGTGGTCCCCGCCTGATCCTCGGGTCTGTTTAGTTAGTAGACTCCAAAGGAGGATAGCTAGTCACTAGATCAGAAGGTGAAAGACCCTTTGAAAAATATCTTGGACAAAGTATCTCACATTTATTCATATTTTTATTCATATATATTTTATACATGTATAATTAGCTTTTAAGGAAAAAAATCACTAAAAGGACCTATATTATTAATGACAATTAGCTATTAAAATATAATTTTTCAAATATACATGGAAAGAGTACCAAAGACTCACAGGGTTGGAAAGATAATAAAAGCCATCTATCTAGTCAACAATATTTTTTCATGGAATTTGAAAGAATTGTAAGATTTATATGAAATATTAATGGAACAAGAAAAACAAAGGCAACTTTGTAGAAGAACATGGTGGTTGAACTTGCCTTTCTGGATATTTAGACTTAAGTTAAAGTGAAAGAAATTAACCCAGCAGAGTACTGGCAAAATGAGCACCACAGAGATAAAGATATTTGCTTGTGTGATTCACAGCTGTCTTCTAGGAACTAGAACACTGACTGGCACATAATACTTGCTCAGTATACAGCTTTGTTGAATAAATATTTGAACGGAATTGAGACGACAGAAATAGAAATATACACTTGCATATTTGAAAACCTAATAGCAAAGTCTAAAAACATTTACAAGAAAACAGTAGAAAATGACTGAAGTAGGTAATTTTTTAAACAAGATGCAAAAAAAATCATAAATCTGAAGGGCAAGTATTGATACATTCAACTACTTTAAATTAAGAACTTTTATTCATCAACAATAAGAATAAAGTAAAAAAAGCTGCAAAATGAAAGCAGATATTTTCTACACTCATAACTAAAAAAGGATTACTATCGAGAATACACAAAAAATTTCTAAGAATTTATAAAGAATAACTAATGGAAAAATGGACAAAATATTTTAATAGGCAAGTTAAAGACGGGAAAACCTGAAAAAGCTGATAAACATGAAATGATGTTGATTTTTCACTAGTAATCAGAGAAACGCAAATAAAATTCACACTGACACACATGTCACGCACCTCCATTAACAAAAATCGTGACATATTTGTAAACACTGGAGTATTCTATGACAGCAAAAATTAATGAAGAAAAACATATGTTACAGAAGCATACATGTATCACATGTTTATGAGTTACAGAATCACACAGGCAGTAGGAATGCACATAAACTGTAAAAGCATGCTAATTACCTC